GGGTGCGGGGGGGGGGGGGGGGCGGTATTTAAAACATCTGGTTGCCCTGCATCATAATAAGGATCTATCCCCTCCACGTAAGGGTAGCAACTGGGAAAGGCTGGGGGGGGCTCCTATCAAAATCCACATTCTGCCGCCACACACAGTCAATACGAGGGAAGAAGGGTGTTTTAAGGTGCGACTGGAGGGATAGGTTCACATCTTCCGAGCTTCTTTCCAATCTTGGGTCAGTATGATCGGGCATTAAAGCAACTGATTATTATAAGGGTTCTGGTGAGGAGCTTCGTCCCTGGAAATGGCCACTCAATAAATTATTGTTCTTTCCCCGTTTCCCCTCTTTTCTAGTTGCAACAGCTAAGGAACTGCCTCCCAGTATTAAAGGAATGCCCCTTCAGGGTGCTGTGATCCTCTATACAACAAATATTTTCCCTCCCCCACCTTTGTTTTTTTTAGTGGACCAATTAAAATAATCACCACGTAGAGCATTAGAAGAGGCATTCTTCTGGATAAAATTCAACTGCACTCCCCAACAAAGAACAAAGCTTCTTCGGGCTGCTGCTTCCAGACCTGGGCAGTTGCCTGCGAAACAACTGAGCTACAAGTTTAGGCTTGAACATTGATCGGGCCCCTCTTTTTAAAAATAGCAAATACATTGAATTTTCGGGAAGGGGGGGGGGCGATTTGCTTCTTCCTCTGCCCCTTGGGTTTTCCGGGCGGTAGGAGAACTTGCTCTCCTCTTGCCCTACGGATTTCGAAAGGAGTCTGCATCGCTTCTCTCTCCCCCCCCCCTTTTGGGGGAGACTTGCTTTCCTTCCCTTTGCCCCCTGGTTTTGGAAGAATTGCACTACATTCCCACCCCCTTGTAGAGGAGAGTGCATCGCTTCCTCCTTGTGGGAGGTGAGGGGGTGCTTGTGCCCCCCTCCTCCTCCACTCCCTGATATCAACAGCCTCACCACTGGCTCCAGCGCCTTGGCTTTTCATTCCACCTCCCCATCCCCCCCTTAATGTTGCTGGCTTCTCTTTTACTCTGGGGTAGGATTTTTGGGAAGCCCAGCGCGTGACTGACAGCTCGCGGGGGCGTCCTCCAATAGGCAGGCGGGCTGGCTGCCCGGTGGGGTGAGTCCCGACTCTCATTGGCTGGCGAGAGTGTGGGAAAGAATGCAGAGAAGGTTTCACACGAATTGGGAGCAGCCGCCGGGTATAAATAGAGCGGGGGGTCCCTGAAGCCGGCTTAGCAGCCGCCGCAGCCTGGCTCCAGCTGCAGGAGTGCAAGCAGCCTCGCGCAGGGTCGCCTCGCCGCTGTGCACTGGCTTCCCCTCTGATCAGTGATTGCAAAGCCAGAGTTCTCCTTGAACCGTGTCCAGGGTGCAGCCGCCTAAACCGCCTCCCCCCTCCCAGGCACTGGGCTCATTCCAAGGGATACAGTTTGAAAATAAACTGCAATATTTTTGCAACATTCTTTCCCCCCTCTCCGCTTGCTTTTTGGCTTTTTGTTGTCAAGAAACATTTTTAAAATGCCTGCTGACACCATGGAGAAACCGACAGCCTCCCCGATCGCCGGTGCCCCCGCTAGCTCCAGCCACACGCCGGACAAGCCCAAGAGCGCCAGCGAACACAGAAAGGTAAATCGCATCAACTTCTTACCATCCAAGATGTAATGATTCACCTGGCTTGTGTCTTGTCTGGACAGGGGATATTGCATGCAAGAGAAAGTGCATCTAAGACGCACCTTATCAAAATATAAGAGTGGCTAATATAAATATCACTGTATAGTAACATAAGTTCTGATAATATACAGATGTGCACAGTAGCATGCAGTAGTGTTTAGTATTTAAACAACAAGACTATGGGGCCATGCAACATGCAGAGGCATACAGTGATGTGCAGAAATGATGGCTATTTGGGGGCAGGCTGCAGGCGGGAAGGGGGAATAGTTTGCATTAGCGTTACAGCACTCCATGATGGACAAATACAACAATATGACCTGCCCTACAGGCTTGTAGGCACTTGTATGGAGAGCAATGAGAGTGTCCTGTGCCCTGAAAGGGAGGCAAATATATTTATCTCGCCTTCTGTTTCTTCTCTCCAGTCCTCCAAACCTATCATGGAGAAGCGGCGCCGGGCCCGGATCAATGAGAGCCTGGGGCAGTTGAAGACCCTCATCCTGGATGCCTTGAAGAAGGATGTAAGTGGCGCTCTGGGGGTTTCAGGTGCGGATTGGTGGGAGGGGGAAGTGAGAGGAGGACTTGCATGGATGGCCCAGCTATGGGGGATGAGAGTGGAGACCTTCCCCCATCTTTACATTTTCCCTTTTGCTCTTTTTGCCAGAGCTCCAGGCACTCCAAGTTGGAGAAAGCAGACATCCTGGAGATGACGGTGAAACACCTGCGGAACCTGCAGCGAGCCCAGATGACAGGTAACCACCCGCTCTGTCTGCCAGTACCACTCCTTGGAATGTGGGGAGAAGCTCTTGGGGAACAGCTGGGTGATGTATGGCTGCATATCTCCATCCAAATACGCTGCACCCTCTCGGGGATTCAGCAAGTACCATGGAATAAAGGGCCTGTACCAGGCTGCAGAGGGAGGGAGGCACTTGAAGTTGTGGGTTACCCTTCCTGCTTGCCAGGACTGATGTGTAATCCTCTCTCCCCTCTCCTCTTCCATTGCAGCAGCACTGAGTGCTGACCCCACCGTCCTTGGCAAATACAGAGCTGGATTTAATGAGTGCATGAACGAGGTGACCCGGTTCCTTTCCACCTGTGAAGGGGTGAACACAGAAGTGCGGACCCGTCTGCTCAGCCACCTCTCCGCTTGCCTGGGCCAGATTGTGGCTATGAACTACCCTCCACCGCCACCCCCGGCTGGCCAGCCAGCTCATCTGGCGCAACCGCTGCATGTCCAGCTTCCCCCTACGGCCACAGCCCCTGGAGCTGTGCCAGTGCCCTGCAAACTGAACCCTGCTGAAGCCCTGTCCCCCAAAGTCTATGGAGGCTTCCAGCTGGTCCCAGCTACCGACGGCCAGTTTGCTTTCCTCATCCCTAACCCGGCTTTTGCTCCCAGCAGCGGACCCATCATCCCCCTCTATGCCAACACTAACGGACCAGTGTCTTCGGGCAGCGGGCCAGGAAACACAGCCGCAACCCCGTCAGCATCCCCAGTGCAGGGTTTGACATCATTTGGGGGTAGCTTAGCTCCAGCATCCCAAGCTGGGAGTCCGATCGGGGAACGCAGTGAATCTGTCTGGAGGCCTTGGTGACTTGTGTAAAGCCTTCCTCCTCTCCCCAAAAAAACAAAGCTCTTTGGTTCCGTTGTATGGAACCTTGCTTTTGTTTTTTAAAGCAGCCTTTTTTTTTTTTTTTAAAGACTTTAATACAAAGTGTCTATTTATTTCCAGAGATTGGGATCTCTACTTGTATTTTTACTCCTTTAAAAATGCCTTTATCCAAAAGACTTTTTTTTAAATAAATGAGATTAGTTTTGTATCAAATATTCACACAAGTATAATGCCAAAGTTGTTTGTATCTTCGTGTGTGTGTGTGTGTGGGCGTGCGTGTGTGTGTGTGTCAAGACTTCCAAAAAAGTTGCAGGTGTTTGGACAAATAAACTCTTTGAAATAGAAATGGTTGCTTTTCTCACTGGGGGAAGGGGAGGTGTATGAGGGACATATGGGGATAAGGAAGACCTCAGCATGCAAACAAGTTTGGGGAGCAATTTGGGTGACCGTAAATAAACCGAGGGATGCATGACAAGGATACTCTTCCAGAGGTTTGGTTTGAGGGTTAAAATTGTTTGAAATTATTTTACTGTGTAAAAGGAACTCTGCTTCATTTTCACAAAGGGTCTTGTAAGCCAAGGAGGCATTTTCTGTACACACCTCCACTCCTGCTCACAGAAACACTGCTTTCATTACCTGTTTTTTAGGGAGTTCATTGAAATAAGATGTGCTATAAAATTTCACTCCCCCTCCCCCCACTCTTTAAGAGAGTGTGGGAGAGGGAGTGCAAAAGTTACTATCTTGCCTAGGAAAGAGGCGAGAGTCGGCCTCCATTGTGGGGAAGGGCAATTAAAAGGTATAAAGGGTCTCATCGAGTATGCAGCGGGCTCTTTTGGAAGTTTGGGATCCTATTGAAATGCCTGGGAACGCAGAGCTGAGGGTTAATGTATGTCTCTTCTCTCCCCCCCCTCCCCTTACCACATTCTCATTGACAGGGCCAGATAGACTCTGATACTCAATGCTGTTGTAAATTCAATTGCCTGGCCTCACAATGCCTATCTCATAAAAGAGAATAATTCAGGGTGTTTTGTTTTGATTTTTTTCCCCCCTGTGAGCAGGGGAATTGAGGAAAAGACAATTTTGCCACCCATTATGACTCACCCCACTGCTTGAATCCTGGCCAAGTGGAAGCAATTGCAACCCTGTGCACAGAGAATTAACCACTTTTAATGGCCACCAATTAATAAGGCCAACAAGAGCACTGGGAATTAATGCAAAGTGTAGACAGGAAAGCATTGTGCACATTATTCCAATATTATGTGGGGAAGGGAACTGCATGATGAATTAAGCATGTATGTACAGGTCAGGCCTAAAGACATGTTTTGCATCACTGCCCCTAGCAAACAAGATCCCTTTAATGCAAAGGGTGGGATGCTCTGTTCCAATAATCCAAAACCTTAGACTATTAGTTATGCCAGATGGGTTGCGCTGAAGCCAAGAATTTAGCAAGATTCAAAGGATGATCCTAGGGATAGCAAGACCATCTAGTTTATACCAATCCCCCTCTCCCACATTTCAGAAAGGATATAAAGTCTCATGTTTCAGGCGTTAAGGCTCTTAGGGGTTAGGACTTTCAGATTACCCCAGATCTGCCAAAGTGGAGGTTTCTCACCTTCTGAACCATCTTAACACGCAACGGTCCTTGAATCTGATCCAGTCTGGCAACTCCTCTAAAATGTTGGTGACTGGTCAGTGCAGAAAGAACTCCCAAGGCTGGGACAAGGTATCCATTGGAATGAGACGGTTCCCAGAGGGCTTTGTTATGCAATCACAGACATAAAATCCGGTTAGAGTGACTCTCCCATCCTCCCCAACCTGTTCCCACTCCCGCTGCCTCTGTCTGAAGCAGAGGTGGAAGATCTGATGAAAGCCTGCCTGTCGCCTAGATGTAACTGTATACCTCCTTGGGATAGCACTGGGCTTGTCCTTCATTCGCCACCCCCTCAGCCCCCAATCTGCCCTAGATTTAGCAGAGTTTATATTGCTGACATATTAAAGTATCCAAGCAAAAAGAAAACAGCAAGGACTGACCGGACTGATTTTATCCAATAGGGTTTTGATGTATTACATCTGTTCAAATAGAGAAAACAGTATTAAGTTCCTCCAGTTATTCCTCCCACCCCCTCTGCCCTCCATCACTGAGGACAGGGGTGGGGAAACTTTTGGGTTGGGGCTACTGAAAAAAATCAGTCGGGGGCTGCACATAAGTGAGAAACAAAAAACTCTCACTGACATGGCCTCCGACCAAGAAGAAAGACACTCCCCACATTCCCCTCACACACCAGAGCATAGAGGCCCCAGTCTAATACACTTTGTGCTCCAGCTGCACAGAGGGGAGGACGGGGGGCTGGAGTACCAGCACAGGTTCCCCAATGTTGGGGGGGAGCCCTGAGCCTCCAGTGCCAGATCCAGGCAAGCCAGGGGCTGCATCCAGCTCTTGGGCCTTAGGTCTCCCCATAACCCCCAGTCTGCCGACCTAGGGAAGAGGCATTTTACATGACACTTTCCAAGACACTCATTAAGGGTTACACCTGTCACTTAGAAAAGTATGAACAATGAATTTGCAATGGTTAAGGCACAGATCAAGGAGTCAGGAGTTCTGCTTTTATTTTCAGATCAGCCATGGGTTTCTGGGACCTTGAATCTAGTCACTTGCAGAAAAATTAACTCACCCCCAAGACCATTCCCCTCCCCCAGCCATTAGGGGTTTTTTCCCCTCGCATGATCGTAGGTGTTTCTCGTAGGTAGCAATTTTTCAGACTGAAGGATGATTTTTTTTTTTAAAGCTGGCGTTAGCCCAGTAAAAATGCTATAAAAGTACAAAGTATGGTGATGATGATGGGGGAAGGCAAAAGTCCAAAGGGGTGAACAAGGCACCAGGTGGTAAGGATTATGCCATCATCTCTCCACCTGGCAGGGCGTAGGCAGCCTGAAGTCTTTTGGCTGTAGCACTTTCCTGGGACAGTGGTGGGAGGGAGAAAAACCACAGTGATTTCAAAGCTGAAACTGACCTAGGTTGTGATGCCCCATTGTGCAGCTGCATCCTTCTCTCCTAGTCCCAGTGATTTCAGTAGTGGTGTAAAGAACAGGAGGACGAGTTATATAGTCTGACCCAAAAGGCTACAGGTAAAGTATCTTTGTATGAGCCAGACCATCAGGACTCAGTCCACTGGATTCATTTTCTCTGTGAGAAACAGTCCTGAGCCATCAGCTAAGCATCCCAGAAGTTTCTATTTTCCTTTCCGGCCTGTTAACCCTGCTGCTTCCACACAACTGACCAGTGGGATTTTTGCTTTTTCCTCCATCACTCGCTGGGGATCAATTTCAGAGCCTCCCAAAGAGGAAAAAGGGCAGGTGCAGGAGGGGTACGGATGCTTCACGTACACCGAGGGTGCAAAACAATGATGGGGATGCAACTGAATGAGGCCCCACAGGAGACCTTGCAAAAGAGGGCTGGCTATGACACTTCCTGTCCCCAGAGCCTTTTGATGTTGGGCTACATTCTATGTATTTCTAACTCTCCTACTGCTCAGACAGCTGCAGGCAGAATGGTGCCCATCAATATAAGACTGCAATGCACTAGCAGTCCTGCTTTGAACCTCCCATCCAAGAATCCCAAAGCACTTTACAAACAATTAAGCTTCACAATGCCCCAGTGGTAGGAAACCAATTGCTATCCTTATGCTCTGCCAGGAAACTATTCCCTGTGTAAACCAGCAAATGCCCTTACTACTCCTTTAGCTCAGAGATCATTAACCCACTCCAGATTTAGGAGTTAACTACAAATCTCTCCACTAACAACCACCAGCAGTTGTGGAAATTAATATAGGCATCAAAGAGAAAAGGTCGGAGTAGGAGGGGAAAGGGGAAAAGAATGGGGTCTGAATACTACCCCCAGGACTGCTTACTACTCAGAGCTCATTTTATCCATACTCTTACATAGAATACTGTAGGATTGGCCCTTTTAGTAAACCAGTGTAAGGATAGCAGTGTTTGGCCCACTGAAAGTAATGGCAATAGCCCCAGTGGATTTCAGAGTTGGGGGGAGAAGGGGAGGGTAATGCCTAAGATGACTCCCTTGACTTCCAGCAGGGAACAGCTTTGTTTTTTGCACACTTTACTCCGTGGGATAGTTTATCGGATTTTCTTCACCCCCTACAGTTTGGAGATAATTGGGGTCTGTGTGTGTGTCTGTGAAATATCTGGATGAACAGCTCTGGATTAAACAGCCTCTCCCTCCAAAAACAGATACACATTTAAACATCCTCCCCAAATAGCTACACATGTAAACACTCTTCTCCCCCAAAATACACACCCATCCAAACACTCCCCCAAAACAGATACACATGTAAACACTGACCCCCAAAAATGCACACATCCAAACATTCCCCCCAAGAAGATACACACGTAAACACTGACCCCCCAAAATGAATATACATCCAAACATCACCCCCAAAATACACATGTAAACACTGACCCCCCAAAATGAATATATATCCAAACATCCCCTAAAAATACACATGTAAACAGTGACCCCCAAAAAGATATACCCCCAAAAAGCCCCCCCAAAATATACACATGTAAACACTCTGACCCCCAAAATGATCCCCATCCAAACATTCCCCCCAAAAAACAAACACATC